TGGGTGACTGAGAGCGTTGTAGGTGTAACCCTTATTATACTTAGTTGGGTGACTGAGAGCGTTGTAGGTGTGACCCTTGTTATATTTGGTTGGGTGACTGAGATCGTTGTAGGTGTGGCCCTTGTTATACTTAGTTGGGTGACTGAGAGCGTTGTAGGTGTAACCTATATTATATTTAGTTGGGTGACTGAGAGCGTTGTGGGTGTAACCCTTATTATATTTAGTTGGGTGACTGAGAGCGTTGTAGGTGTAACCCTTATTATACTTAGTTGGGTGACTGAGAGCGTTGTAGGTGTAACCCTTATTATACTTAGTTGGGTGACTGAGAGCGTTGTAGGTGTGGCCCTTGTTATATTTAGTTGGGTGACTGTGAGCGTTGTAGGTGTAACCCTTATTATACTTAGTTGGGTGACTGAGAGCGTTGTAGGTGTGGCCCTTGTTGTACTTAGTTGGGTGACTGAGAGCGTTGTAGGTGTAACCCTTATTATATTTAGTTGGGTGACTGAGAGCGTTGTAGGTGTAACCCTTATTATACTTAGTTGGGTGACTGAGAGCGTTGTAGGTGTGACCCTTGTTATATTTAGTTGGGTGACTGAGAGCGTTGTAGGTGTAACCCTTATTATACTTAGTTGGGTGACTGAGAGCGTTGTAGGTGTAACCCTTATTATGTTTAGTTGGGTGACTGAGAGCGTTGTGGGTGTAACCCTTATTATACTTAGTTGGGCGACTGAGAGCGTTGTGGGTGTAACCCTTATTATATTTAGTTGGGTGACTGAGAGCGTTGTAGTGTAACCCTTTATTATACTTAGTTGGGAGACTGAGAGCGTTGTAGGTGTAACCCTTATTATACTTAGTTGGGTGACTGAGAGCGTTGTAGGTGTAACCCTTATTATATTTAGTTGGGTGACTGAGAGCGTTGTAGGTGTGGCCCTTGTTATACTTAGTTGGGTGACTGAGAGCGTTGTAGGTGTAACCCTTATTATATTTAGTTGGGTGACTGAGAGCGTTGTGGGTGTGACCCTTGTTATACTTAGTTGGGTGACTGAGAGCGTTGTAGGTGTAACCCTTATTATATTTAGTTGGGTGACTGAGAGCGTTGTAGGTGTAACCCGTATTATACTTAGTTGGGTGACTGAGAGCGTTGTAGGTGTGACTCTTGTTATACTTAGTTGGGTGACTGAGAGCGTTGTAGGTGTAACCCTTATTATACTTAGTTGGGTGACTGAGAGCGTTGTAGGTGTGGCCCTTGTTATACTTAGTTGGGTGACTGAGAGCGTTGTAGGTGTAACCCTTATTATATTTAGTTGGGTGACTGAGAGCGTTGTGGGTGTAACCCTTATTATACTTAGTTGGTTGACTGAGAGCGTTGTTGATGTGACCCTTATTATACTTAGTTAGGTGTCTGAGAGCGTTGTAGGTGTGACCCTTGTTATAATTAGTTGGGTGACTGAGAGCGTTGTCGGTATGACCCTTATTATATTTAGTTGGGTGACTGAGAGCGTTGTAGGTGTGACCCTTGTTATACTTAGTTGGGTGACTGAGAGCGTTGTAGGTGTAACCCTTGTTATAATTAGTTGGGTGACTGAGAGCGTTGTAGGTGTGACCCTTATTATATATAGTTGGGTGACTGAGAGCGTCGTAGGTGTGACCCTTGTTATATTAGTTGGGTGACTGAGAGCGTTGTGGGTGTGCCCTTGATATATTAGTTGGGTGATGAGAGCGTTTGT